GAGCTACAGAGATAAGAAAGAAGAGTTTTTTTTTAATGTATCTTATTTCATTTTATGACACAGTTTCATAGGCTCTGGGATTCCCCCAACCCTTCCCTGTGCCCTCTCCCCATGGTGGACTCCTCCACCTTGTTGCAGTATTACAGTTCAAATCCAGTCATGATTCCTTCTTTGCAAGCATGTACCACGCAGAGAGTCCGCATCTTATTGAGAGGAAGAGATCTTCCATCCGCTCTCCAGATGGCCACAGCCGTTATGGGTAGGCCAGACTGAGGCCAAGTTCTCAGAGCTTCCTGCAGGTCTCCCACGTGGGTACAAGGCCTAGCACTTAGGCTGTCCTCGGCTGCTTTCCCAGGTACTTAACAGGTGCTAGGTCAGAAGTGACTTTACCTACCAGCCCCCTGTCTTGGGTTGTATGTGAAGTCCATATGCGTATTTATGTCCTCACACATCGAATCCAGAAGTTTCCCTTGCTTTCCTGAAGGAAAAACAGTGTCCTCAGGCCAGTAGAAGGGAGGGTCCTTGCGAAGCACTTGAGTCATTGCTGTGGAAATAGCAATGGGCCTTTGCTGAGCTGAGTTTATTGACGGTTTCACCATTAAAGGCACTTGGTTTCTTTAGAATGGGGAATTCGATACCTACTAAAGTGGATCAATATTAAAATTTATGAGCACTGCAGGCCTTGTCAGGGAACTCTTACTCATGTCCCATGCAATTCTCTCTGGGAGTTTCTGCCTCGGGGACCACATCAGTGTTTAGTGTGCAGTGAAATATTCATGACCTCTGATTAGCTGGATTTAATTGTTACATCTTCGTCTGCTTCGTGATGTGTCATTAAGCTGAAACTCACCTTGAAGCTTAAGTGGGTGAAGCCTGTTTATTGCAGTCTCTTTGTTATTGTCTGTGCTTCTCTCTAATTCCTTGTATAACCACCTAGTTTGGTTTCTCATGTAAACACAATGGCAGCATACAACAAACAAGATTTTCTTTCTTTAGTGGAAGATACTGTGACTTAATAACTACTATTGTGTTATAAGTCAGCATAATGAACTTTAAAGATCTACATTAAGTGTTTGTTAAGGGTTTTAGTTTTTGAAAACCACTGAGGTAAGCTTTCCCTGCATATGTTGTTTTTGGGGTGCAGTTGTTTTTCAGGGCTTTCTTTTAACCCACACTAGAACGTTTGCCCCATCACCTTTCCCTCCTAGTGTAGGGCGGTGGCTGTTGGTGGGGTTGTCACTGATGCCTTGTGACCTCTTCAAATGGTGAGTGTTTAAGGAGCTGTTACTTTTATGTCCGCGCCAACTTTGCAGTTTTGCTTTCCCCACTAAAAAAAAAAAACACAAGCCCGTGTCTCAGACCTTTTCTTCTCCCCAGTGTGCAGGGCATTTGGAAGGACCTCGGAGGTCCTGTGACGCTCTACTGCCAACGGGCAGGGTACTCAGGAACCCAACCCTGAGGGTGGACAGAACTGGGCTTTCCTTCTGGTGTTGCCGCTTCCTGGTTTGAAGAATTACTTGGGCTTCAAGCCTCAATTCCAATCTCTTGAAATTGGGAATATTAGTCCTATCCATCTCGTAATGTGTGATGAAGAACTGAGGAAAAGCCCAGGGTAGCCAGGAGCTGGTGTTCAGCACTTACTGCAGTAACAAGGAGGTGTGTGGACTTTGAAAGCTGGTGGTCAGACTTTGAGACTGCCCCTGTCTGGGTACCATGGCCTCACTGGGAGAAAGGCAAGGAGCAGTTCCAAGTGACTCCTTGGATGATAGGGCGGGACCTGCTTTCACAGCTTGGATTGGGTGGGCTCTGGCTTTGTTTTGTTATTGTTGTTTGTTTGTTTCCTTTTTTGTATGTAGATGGTATCTTACTACTGCCTCCTGGAAGGACCTTCAACAGTGCTGTTCTGTAACAAGTAGATTTTAGCTCTGGCTTGCAGAGGCACTGAGTTCTTGTGTTCAGGAGGTGCAGGGAAAGACAAGGCTGCTGCTTGCTCAGTTCAGTGGATGCAGCACAAAGCACACAGTGGCCTCTGCTGGGGCTGAGCTGGACTTTCAAGTTACACAGCAGGTGCCCCTGGGTGAAACCCTGCAGTAAATAGAACCATTGTAGTCCTGGAAGGCAGAAAACAGGACTGCCTTGTGTCCACCTGGCCAGGAACGCTACCTGGTTTTTGTTTGTTTCTGAGAGCCTCAGCATGTGGAGCCTCTGGAGAAGGTGAGCATCCTCACATACAGGGTCTCCAGGGCCAGCTGGGACAGCACTCCCGTCCACCAGCTCATGGCTGCCATGTGGGAGAGGAGAAAGCCTCTGGCCAGACAGGGTGGGACACATGCGATGGAGGCGTTTTGGTTCTCTGCGTGTCAGCTTCCTTGCTTTACGTGGAGTGAATGTGAGCAGACATTTCCATGTGCGTGGTTCTGAACATTCTTTCCACTTCCGGGAGAAAGATCTGTGCTCCTAGCTCTGTGTATGAAGCTTCCTTGAGCAGCCAAGATTGAACAGGTCCTTTCTGGGACCAGTGGGGGAAAAAGCGTGCAAGCACCCTTGGACTGGCAGGCGAGCAAGCGTTTCGATTGTGCATGCCTCCTAGTTTAAAACCAGAGGTGATCAGAGGCTGTGAAAGGCACAGAAAGATCAGAGTCTCCTGAACTCATCCAGAGCCAAGGGCGAAGCTCCGTCATCGCCACCCTTCCCACTTCTACCTGATATCACACAGAGGCTGGGCTTCCCACCCCCCTCCTTGAAGATCCTGACCCTGGCCCTCCACCTGCACAGGTAGCCAGAGACCAGGGGCAGTGGAGGCTGAGCTGGCAGTGCCAGGAAGGTGGACAGCTGAGAATGTTAGAGCATGGAGTGCCCGTGCAGTCGACTCTTCGTGCCCTTGCGCCTTCATCTTTCATCTGTGGGAGGGGTCCTAGCATCTCTCTGCAGCACTGTGGTGCAGTTTAAAACAGGCCCCAATTCTGGGGCCAGTGCGCGCTCAGCAGCTGCAGCTGTTAAAAGGAGGACCATGTTGTCACTAACTGGTTGCCTGCAGTTCTCAGACTGCTCCCAGACTGCTCCCGGACTGCCAAGGTTCTACAGGACGCACACCTGCCACGAGTGGGGAAAGTGAATGCAGCACGCAGCACAAAATCGACCAAGCCAGTGTGCACAGTGAATTGTTCCTCCACTTTAGTGCAGAGTTCCCTGGGCGAGTGAAGTAGCACTACTCCTGTCATAGTGGAAACATCACCAACACGGTGTTGTAAGGGAAGGCAGTCCTAGTCGGAGAGAGAAGTCATTGTCAACACTGGGGAGGACCCTGGCAATCAGTGGTACATCTCGAGGTGCGGCCTTGCTCCTGGGTCTGGTTGGAGGCTATTGCTGGTCAGTCCCGTCTTGACCATGGCTTTCAAGTGTTGGATGTCCTGAAGACAGTGCTGCTCAGACAGCTGGCCCCGTTCCAGAAAGGCAAATAGGATGGCGCGTTTAGAGTTTGGCAGCCTGTGTTTGAGCCCTGGGCACCCCTTGCCAGCCGTGGTCCATGGGAGAAGCATTCATCCCTCAGCCCACTGGAGACCCTAACCTCCTCCAGACCGTCCCCAGCTCAGGTCACAGCACTGTGGTATGCTGAGACAGATCAGTGAGGTGTGAAGAGTTGTGCCAGGCCCTGCGTGGCTGCTGGTGTTGTTCCCGGCAGCAGCAGCGGCTTGGGGAAGCACCACTAGCCAGGGATACACGAAGGTGCCCATGCGAGGGTCTCTTCAGAGAGGTCGGCGTCCGGGGAAGAGGGAGCAGAGCTCTGCCCCTGGTGTTGTTTATTGGTACACTTGGGCTTGATATCTGGTTCTGGCTTCTAAATACAGCTTTGTTCCAGTACAGACCTGTGAGGCAGAGGGGTGGCTCGGTAGTAGAGTGTGAGGCCGAGAGGCCTGAATTGGATTCCCAGCTCTTGCTTTTGACCTGGCCCAGTGCTGGCCATTGTGTGTGTCTAAGGTGTGAATCTCCCAAACACAGACACACGCAAATTTTTACAAAAATATGACGGAAGAATTCCAAAAATGGTCATAAATGTAATGTGCTATGTATAGATACGTGCACAATTTTGATTGCTTTGGTAGATTTGCTTTTTAGGGGTTAAATCCATTTCCAGTCCCTTAGCACCTATGGCTTGTGTCCACTGTTCCCTGAGATGAATGGCTCCTTCTGGGAGCAGGTGTCACACTGCTTGGGATGCCTGCATCCCTGGTCAGGTGCCACTTTGAGTCCTGGCTATTCTTCTCCAGCTCCCTGCTGAGGTCTTGAGAAGGCAACCCAGGATGGCTCAGGGACTTGTATCAGCCCCACCCTCACGGGGAGCCTGGAGAAGTACCAGGCTCCTGGCTTTCCGGTGCATCTGGGGAATAAATTCATGGATGGAAGACTCTCCCGCTGCCATTCCCACTTCCCACTTCCTCTCTCCCCACACTCTGTTTCTCACAATTCCTCTCACTCTTTCTGCCTTTCAAATACATAAATACATACATACATTTTTTAAAAAGATTTATTTATTTATTGGAAAGTCAGATATACAGAGAGGAGGAGAGACAGAGAGGAAGATCTCCCGTCCGATGAGTCACTCCCCAAGTGAGCACAACGGCCGATGCTATGCCGATCCGAAGCCAGGATCCAGAAACCTCTTCCGGGTCTCCCACACGGGTGCAGGGTCCCAAAGCTTTGGGCCGTCCTCGACTGCCTTCCCAGGCCACAAGCAGAGAGTTGGAACTAGGGAGCTGGATGGGAAGTGGAGCTGCAGGGATTAGAACTGGCGCCCACATGGGATCCCGGTGCGTTCAAGGCGAGGACTTTAGCCGCTAAGCCACGCTGCTGGGCCCCATACATATATATATTTTAGAAACTTTGCCCAGAAGGTCTCTTTCGGATGGAGTGTTTTCCAGGTGGTTGTGCTAACTTCAGGAGAGAATGCCAAGGTGCGTGTGTTCACGGAGACCACTAACCTGTGTTCTTTCTCACCACAGCTCCATTTGGCCGCCCTGGCATCCCTGAAGGGAGACATAGCAGAGCTAAATAAGCGTCTGCAGCAGACAGAGCGGGAGCGGGACCTTCTGGAGAAGAAATTGGCCGAGGCACAGGTAAGGGGTTGGAGAAGTGTGTGTGTGTAAGTGAACTTTCTGGTTTTAACATGAAACATACAAATTCCTACCAAACAAATCAGAGTGTAATGAGAAAGTGTTTGGTCCGCCCAGCTGAGCTCCAAGGACTGGGAGATTTCCCACGTATTTGTTGCGCGTGACCTGTCTGACAACACTGTTCCCGGTCTGCAGGCAGCTCCCCCTCTGCTCCTGTCTGTCCTGAAAAGGGCCCCACCGTCAAGAGGGGGAGTCACCTCCCAGAGCCACCACATTGAGGGTTTCCTCTTCTACACGGATTGGGGGCGCGGCAGCACAGACCCTCAGTCCCTCAGACCCGCCCCAGAACCACGGCCCAAGTCAGGAAACCGGCTTCCCTGTCGCTCTGGAAGCCTACCCCGTTTCCACAAAGATAAGCCTGGGGTGACTTGTATAGTGGTATTACATGTGTTTCTTTACAGTTTATCAGTTCTGTTTGTTAACCCCGAAAGTGGGGTTGAGTTTTGTTCCTTCAAATCTTATAACCTGTGCAGTTCCCCTGCACCCTTTGTTTGCTTTTTGCTTTCCTTGTCAGCCTGGAGTTTCCATGCTCTGAGTGCCTGCTCAGGGCTCAGAAAAGCCAAGCTCACCCGTACTTCCTGCAGGCGGACAGCTGAACGTGCAAAGGGCGTTTGCCTGTTTTTTCTCCAGAGGCGCATATTGCTGGGTTATTTACAGTTCTGAGAAGTTAGCAGCTATCGGTGGTTTGTGTCTAGAGTCCTTGCTTCATGAGAACTCAGGACGTCTTGGTGGCTCAGTTCTGTTGCCTGTTATTCCGTAGGACACTTCTAGGGGCCTTCTGCATCATCTCGTGTTGAAGCCCTGCTGTAATTCAATCTTTCTGTTTATTTTAGCATTTTTCAAGATAATGAATTGGTTTCCCATGATCCTCTGAATGTGCTTCTTTACTTTTGATATATTACTGCCAGTTTGTGTGTTTGAATATGTTTACATTTGGGTTTGAATCCACTGTAATTATTTTCCGTGTAAAAACCCAGATTGTACTGTCTGGCTGGGGCCTGCTCAGGGTGCTTCCGGGTCTTAGCATCCGAGTCTAGAAGTTGCTCTAGGCTCCCGTGGTGTGTTCCTTGCTGCAGAACTGGAATTAGACAGTTTTTGTCAGCAGGAAAGGTATTCAGCACTGTTGTCTGCATGCTACGGGTTCTTACTGCTTCTGCGAGTTTTCGTTTTGTTTGTTTTGAGGCTTCTTTTGTAGATTTTTAGACTAAATATATACAGTTTGTGTGTATATATACATGTAGATGCAACTTAATCTATGTATTAGAACGCTTAATAAAGTTTGTGGAGAAATTGGATAGGAGCAGGTGTCGTAGAGTGGGGAATGGCACGACTTGAACACGCCCGCATCCCTCTTGCTGTGCCTAATGTCCCAGCGACTGCGCGTGGGATCTCGCTTCCTGCTGTGCAGCCAAGTTCTTGTGTCCCCACACACAGCTCTTGCAAGCTTCTGGGGGTCAACCAGCAGGTGGACATGTGCTCTCTGTCTCTGCTACCCTGCCTTTCAAGCAAATAAATATTTTTTTTTCTAAAAATGATGCAAAAATTAACCATATATGAGAAAGTCTTGAAAAAGTTCATGGAAATGTGGGTTGTGAAAAAACTGTGAAAAATGAATTTCAAGATTTTTATGCAACAAAATACAACAAATTCATCTTTTCAGTTTTTCCACATACTTTTCAAAATGTTGTCACATAAAATTTAAGGCCTTGGGGAATGGGAATTGGGGGAGCGTAAATCCCAAACTGTACAGAATTGTACCACAAAATTCAAAATTAAAAATAAGCGTTAAAAAAAGATGAAAAAATAAGACTTTGTTCTTTACAAGTTTTTTTTTCTAATAAAAATGTATTAGAAAAATTTATTAGAAGAAAATCTTCTTTCCGTTGGCTCACTCCCCAAGCGGCCACAATAGCTGGAGCTGAGCTGATCTGAAGCCAGAGCTGCTTCAGGTTTCCCATGGTGGTGCAGGGTCCCGAGACTTTGGGCTGTCCTCAGCTGCCACAGTAGGGAGCTGGGTGGGAAATGCAGCTGCCGGATCCCAGCGCATGCAAGGTAAGGACTTTAGCCACTAGGCTACCGGACTGAACCCTGTTCCTTAGGAATTCTTACTTCCAGTTCAGATTCAGACTACTGAGTGTTTTTCTTTCTGTATTTTACCTATTTCTGCTTTGCTGCACACTGAAACACCGAAGTTATGGGAGAGTGAGATCGTTTCCAGGGGCTGGTGTTGGGACCCTGTGGGTTCCACACACCATCCCATATCTAAGTGCTGGTTCGAGTCCTAGCTGCTGTGGTTCTGACCCAGCTCTGTGTGAGATGCCTGAGAGGGAGGGAGGGCAGTAGACGATGACCCAAGTGCTTGGGCCCCTGCCACCCAGGTGCAACGCCAGGGCGGGGTTTCTGGCTTGTGGCTTCAGCGTGTACCAGACCTAAGCTGACCGCTGCAGCTGTTTGCGGACTGAGCCGTTGGGTGGAAGGTATGTTTTTTTCTGTCTGTTTCTTTCCCTTTCTAGTGCTCTGCCTTCCAAATATCCCAAATAAATAAATTTTTAAGCTTGTGACAGATGTTCCATTCAATTGCTGATTCATTCATTCTTTGTAATAATTTTGCCATAGTAAGTCTTAGTATTTTAAATATATTTATTTATGTATAGCATGTCAGAGAGAGGAAGGCAGGAGTGAAAGTGGAGCAGCCAAGACCAGTCAGTCTACACATGGAGCGTTAGTGTTACAGCAGACAGCTTGACTGCACCACAGCACAGGCCCATATAGTAAGTCTTACTCGTTCTAATTCTTCTCAGGTTTTCTTAGCATTTTTAAAAAACTATATGCTTAACATTAGGGTTTTTTCACCACCCCTTCACTATAGCAGGTCTGTCACCAGGTTAATTTGACTTCCTCCCGTCCAGTCTTTCTCGGATTGTTGCTAGTACGTGTTGTACTGTTGGGGAAAGCAGCCTTCTGCTGCTCCCTTGTCATCTGGAAGATGGGAGCCTGCTTATGGGCTCCTGGGCTTGCTTGTTGGGCCTACTCCTGTGCACATCTTTTATTCCGTTTGTCTCTGTTACCCTTGTCCTGTTTTGATCTTACTTACACTAATTTCTCCCACAATGGAGTCCTGGGGGGCGGTAAGAACCCAGCTGTGCCTGCTCACAGGCCTCGTGAGCCCCCTCTCTACCCTGCTTACCCGCTCGGGTTCCTAGCTCTGAGTCCCCAGCCGGCCCTGTCCTTTGCTGTTAGTTTGTCCTTTGCCTGAAGGCCTCTTGTCCCTAGATCCCTCAGTGTTGCTGGTCGTCTGTGATGCTGCCCCCCAGCACACACACACACACACACCTAGTCACACCTAAGAGATAGTATAGATTGTTCAGTTGGCAGGAGATTCCTTGTCTCCAAGCGTTTGGTTCTTCTATGTACATGTTCTGTGTGGTATGTAACCATTCGGGGAGATCCAGGCTGCAAGGCCCATTCTGTGGCTGGCAGGTGGAGCTGCCGCCTGCAAGTGCTGGCTTGAGTCCTGGCTGTTCTGCTTCTCATTCAGTCTCTTACAAAGGCGCCTGGGAAAGCAGTGAAAGTTGGCCCGCGTACTCGGGTCCGTGTTACCCATGTGTGGCTTCAGAATGACCCAGCCCTGTTATATCCACTTGGCAGGTTACGCAGCACACGCAAAAGTTAACACACATGCTCGCTCACTCACTCTCCAACTCTGCTTTTTAAAGAAAGAACTCTTACAAAAGAACAAGAACAGACTGCTATAGCCATCTCGTCGGAATAACCTAAGGGAAATTTTTTGAAAACTCAAATCTCATAAACATGGACTGTTTGAGCACATGGGGACCTTTCCTTGAATCTGAACGAGCTGCTTCTTCCTGTGGTGACCCAAAGAAGTTAACTTGCTTGACGGATCAAATGAATACATTGCTAAGACCACAAGTGCTTTTTTCTTCCTACAAGGCAAGTTTTTAAATTATTCTTAGAATTTTTACTTTTTAAGTGATCATAAAGTGAATAAAATACTGGTTTTTTAAAAAACTTGATTTTTTTTTTGAAAAAAACAATGTTTCAGTGCTAGTCTCTGGTGAATTGAAACTTTTAATATTTTTTAAAGAAGCTTGTTATATATGTGTAAAACAATCAGATGATACTTAGAGACTATGTTTCCTAACCAGTTCCCCTATCGGAATGCCTGGGCTCAAGTCCCAGATCCACTTCTAATTCCAGTTTCCGGCATGTTAGCGGCTGACGGCTCAAGTTGCTGCGGTGTGAGTAGTTCTTGTTTCTGATGCAACAAGGAGCCCCCGGAGTCAGCTTGGTGAAGGTCGCCCGGAAAGCAGGTTGTTCCCTGCACAGCAGAAGCACACACTGGGAGAGGGTGCTGGCCACTCTGAGCAAGGCTTGGGCCCTGAGGCTCCTGGAGCGTAAGGGGTGGCGGTGTGGACTTTATCCATCGTCAGAGGAGCTGGAGTTTGCCCTCATTTCCTTTCCTTTTTTGTTAGTCTCAGAGGTGTCGTGTGGGGTGCATGATGGACACGGAGTGCCAGCCGTGGTGGTTTTGTCATGATAACATAATGATCCAAAGGTCATTGCTAAGACTCAGCTGGCCGCCTAACTCAGTCCTTCTGCAACACTGCTTCTAAGTGTCAGAACTGTGGGTGCTGGAGTTCTGTGCTGGTGGAAGCCTGGGACGGGGCGGGAGGAGGGCTTGGGCAGAGCTGAAGTGCAGACAGGGCTGTAGGGAGAGGCCGGGGACCTTGAATCTGACGCGCTAGCTGCCTCCCTGCCTGCCAGCCATGGGAGAGACCTGGGCTGTGTTCTTCGCAGCTTGACATCTGGCCTAGTGCCAGCTGTCACAGGGACCTGGAGAGTTCTCTGTCGCTCTTTTATACTCGCTCTGCCTAGGTAACATGTAGGTTGGTAGGTGGGGGAGTGTGTACCCACTGTGTAAA